AAAAAAAAAAAAAAAGCCTCACCGCCCATTCACCATCTCCACAGAATGAAAAACTTCTTCTCATCGGTTTCCCAACCTACTTCAATGGCGAAGACAAAAATCGCTCGCTATCCTCGAAAAAAAAGGGCGAACGAAGTGGATGAAACACCACAGATAAGGTCAAGTTCTCGGCTTCAGAAGATCCTTTCAAAACCAAAACCCAAACTCATTGAGAAAAAGCTTGTTTTTAACAGAAACATGAAGAACCCTAACCCTAATCGCAAGCCGGCCGGCAACGCAGGAGTGAAAAAGCACATTTCATCCCCTGATTTAGCTCCAGTCCAACGACGGCGTAAAACTCAAAAATCCATTCGGCAGGATAAAAAATCAAAAACCCCAAGTCCACAGAAAAGAGAAATCGTCTGACACCGATTTTGAAGATGAATTTCACTCCGAAGACGTCAAGTTTTATTTTTGATATATGTTTGGTTTATTTTAGGTATATGTTTGGTATATCATTGATTTATTTTTAGTATATCCCCTGTTGGTATTATCCAATGGTTTATTGTTGATATATGATTGGTTTATTATCCGATGGTTTACATCTGGTAGAACAAAAAACTTTTATTATCCAATAGTTTGATTTCTCATATATGGTTGTTATATGCAATGGTTTATTTCCGATATATGTTTGGTTAATTTCTGGTATAAGTTTGGTATATCAATGGTTTATTTCTGGTATATCTCTTGTTGGTATTATCCACTGGTTTATTTCTGATATATGTTTGGTTTGTTATCCAATGGTTTACATCTGGTAGAACAAAAAACTTTTATTATGCAATGTTTTTATTTCTGATATATGTTTGGTATATGCAATGATTTATTTCTGATATATGTTTTGTTAATTTCTGATATATCCCAAATAACTACGCAAAAAAGGACGACTTAAAATAATAATAATAATAATAATCAACCACACGATATTTTTTTTCGCCTGTCAATGAAGAAGTTTTTTTCAAAAAATATTGAAGACGTGTTTAATTTTTTTTCCCGTGTTTATTCCATGAAGATTATTTTTTCAAATTCAAATATGATATCCTTCCATCTCTTCATTCCTGAAATCGTGGGGCTACAAACATGGAATGTTTGTTACATATACTTGTAACTGATAATAGGCATAAATGCAATTACTTTTAGTCTATTAGGTATATACACAATTAAATGGATATCAATTGTATTCTTGCAACTAATTTAAAATCGTGCAGCACAAATAAAATTTTCCCAATGAAATATTTGTTTGAAAGCAATCAAGCCTATTAAGCAATCAAGCCCATTAAGCAATCAAGTAAGGTCAAATGGAGGAGCACATATGCGTGGGCTTAGACTTTATATTTCAAATGGACCTGGGCCATGGATAGGGAAATGAAATTTGATTTGAAAGCAATCAAGTCCATTAAGTGCCATTTGTATAGTATAAATTGGCTAGGGTTTCATCGATCTCATGGAGACTCTCTGTCTCACTGCAACAGGAAGCTTGTACCTGCGCTTCTAAGATCAGGTAAAATGTTTTAAATCTTTTATGTTGCTTCTTATTTTCTGTCTTCGCGACATGTGAAAGATTCAATATCATCCTTGCTTGTAATTTGGGCTTGTGTTGATGAAATCCCAAGTATGAGCTCCTGTTTTTGTGCTGTTTTTTTTT